TTTTTTTTTTTTTATATCCCCTCTCTTCCTCCTCCTCGTGTTTCCTCCCCTTTGCTTCGCGCAGAGCGCAGCCCCGCTCTGCAGCCCCGCACCCCGTCCAGCTTTGTCTGCCCGCTCCTCGGCTCCTGTTTGAGCCACGAACACCGCATGGAGACGTTAACCCAAACAAACGATCCTTCCAAAACACAAAGACAACTCCGTTAATTAATTACCGGTGTCTTTATGACAAACCTCATCTCTCAGCCATTCAGTCCTTGGCAGCAAATTCTTGAAAATCTCTAATTTTCACTGTTGGCATCCATCCAGCTCAGCACGGCCTCTTTTCCGATCAGCTCTGAGTTTGTTTGGTTTTTTTTCAGAGATCCTCTCCCAAGAGTTTGCCAATTCGTTCCCATCGTAGAGAGGCAGAGCTGGGAGCAGAGCCTGGGCTGGAATCAGCGATTCACCTGGACGTCCAAATGCAAAGCTGACCTCCGAGCCAAGCAGGGATGGGGAGAGAGAAACATCACCAGTGTGAGCCCTGAGGATGGGGAGGAGGATCCAGGACTTGTGTGGTGCCCAGATCCCTGCAGGGGAACAGGGATGGAGCAGCACCTGTGTGCCCCAGCCCTGCAATCAGAGCTGTGCTGAGCCCCAGCTGCGCTCAGCAGCACTGATTTCAGGCAGCAGGAGGTGTGGAGAGGTTCTGTGTGTGCTGGGCTGCCCGGTCAGCTCAGGTCTGTGGATAGAAAACTACAGAGGGGTTTGCTCTAACCAGGGCTGCTGGCAAAGGCCTGCCTTTTTGCTATGTGGTTATGAGCAGAGCTGGGCCCCGGGCACTTGGAACAGTCACAGCAGCCTGTGAGGGGTGGTGCCGAGGGAAGTTTGCCTCTCATCTACTGGGAAAACAGCAGAGAGCAGAGATAGCAGAAAACTAACAAAACAGCAGCAATAAAAAGAATAGCAAACAAAGCGTGGATCTGTGAGGCACCCAAAGGTGGACATCTCCCTCTGCTGGGGGTTGGGTGCAGAGCTGCGCTGAGCGATGCTACGAGTGAGGCTGACAACCGAGGGTGCTGGGAAGATCATAGCAGAAGTAACATCGTGATATTTCCATTCTAAAACAGTCTCAGTAATGGAGTGCAGGCCGGCAGCGAGTGCTACAGGGGGGTACTGAGCTGAGAGGGGCTGTGGAGCGTGGGGTGTAACTGAGGGCGTGGAAAGGGAAGAAAAAAGGAGAGATAAGGAGAGAAGAAAAGAGAGGTGGAAAGGAGAAAAGAGGGAAGGGATGGGAATGGAGAGGAGACCCTCCAGGATCCCCCAGTTTCAGAGGCAGCCACGTCCGCGTGCTGCCATCGCCCCCTCCCGGAGCGATCCTTGCGTGCAGCAGCGCAGCCCCCGGGCCGGGTTCGGTACCGGCCCGCTTGGAGCCGACGTAACGCTGTGTTGAACGTCGGGCAGCTTTGGGTGCGGGCGGCCTCCCGCACAGCCGGCACATCCCGCCTTTTTATCCATCTTTTGTATCTCTTGATCTCTTCCCTTTACAGCTGTGCCTGGCGAGCTGCTTTACAATGCGCTGTTCAAGATGCTCCTATACTTCCCAGACCCTTTTAAGTCACTGCTTTGTGATTAAGAGCTCTCCTCCTTTGTCACTTTGGGGTTAGGATCAGAATTAGGGTTACAGTTAGGGTTATGGTTATAATTAGGGTTTGGGTTACAGTTAGGTTATTGTTATGGTTAGGATTATGGTTATCTTTATGGCTAGGGTTTGGGTTACAGTTAGGTTATGGTTCTGGGTAAGGTTATGGTTAGGGTTAGGTTACGGTTAGGGTAACAGTTACAGTTAGGGTTAGGTTATGGTTAGGTTACAGTTGTGGTTATGGTTTGCATTGCATTACATTGCAGTTCCAAGGGCGGTCATCCTGACTTAAATAAAAGCATTTGTTGAATCAAAGGAGATAAGCACAGGGATGAGTAGAAATGCTGAGTCTGAATGACAGCATCCTGGCTCATCTCCCCCTGCATCCACCTCCCCACACATCCTGTGTCCAGGGGCAGCGATTGCAGCCCTCCTGCCCTGTGTTTTTCTATGGGGCAGCCTTGGGGCGAGCAGAGGAGCTGCCCCAGCACTGCACAGAGCTCTCACCTTATCCCTTCTGTTGTTGCTGCTGCTGCTTCCAGGGTTTATTTTTAGTCGGGAGGGCCTTGCTGGCAGCCGGCACAGGGCTGTGCTGCAGTGGATGGGCAGAGGCAGCTGCTGGCTTTGGGGCTGCAGTTCCCCCCACCTTCAGCACCTCCTGCTGTGCTCTGAGTTCTGGGAGGGGATTTCAGAGGGGATCAAAGTACCGGAGGGGAGGGGGAGAAGCGAATGTATGCAAAAAAATATAATGAAAATATTGAATCTGGTTCCATTTAATGATGATTTCAGATTGTGACGATTTCGCATTCTGCAGCCTCCACCAGGTGGGGCCTGGGCTGACTCCTCTGCGCTGCCGGGAGGCGGACGGAGCTGCAAAGCCGCGACGTTTCCGATAGTAAACACATCCACAGCGCGCTCCTTCGCGTGCCTTCCTGCCTCCTCTTTGTGTTTGGTCTCGGTTTCCCGGGAGCGAGGAATGCAGCGTGTCTGACAGACGCCAACCCCGCACAACGGAGCAGAAAGCGGCTTCCTCCGGCCCTGAGCAGCAGATCAGCTGGCGCTGCGATTGCAGGACGTAAGAAGATTGCGAGTTTAAATTTAGCATCATCGGGAAAAGAGCGAGCTCTCCTCGCAACGCATTTCGTGCTGCGTTTAGCCGGGGGGGCTCCCACGGACGGAAAGGCAGATCCCCAAGGATGCTGCTCTCACGGGGCTGCGGCGGTCCCGACCAAGCGGCTCCCCACGGCTTTCCCGCAGCGTTCGGACACGCGTGGAGCGACTCCGCCGTTCCCCCCCCCTCTCGCAGGCCGGCCCCGCTGCTGGCTCCGCCCGCCGTGATGCGTTCGGGAGGCGTCTCCGCTGCCGCCGCTCCGCGGAGCCGAGCCGGGGCCGGGCCGAACCGAACCGCGCAACGAGGGTACGGGGCGTGGGGAGGGCGGGGATGGGAGAAGGCGGCCGTGTAATGGGGATTATGGGGGCCGAAAGGGATGGCGGTGGGGGTGGTGGGAGTTGGGGAGCGCTGGGTGGGCCTCGCCGTGACCCCTCGCTGTGCCCCCCCAGGTTGAAGCGGCGAAGCGAGGAGGAAGGAGATCGATGGGCGGCGAGAGACCCGGAGCGGCGTTTCGGCCTGCAGCGATGGATGCGTGATCTGCGGAACGCCGTCCGTCCGTCCGCTTGCAGCACGGTGACGGGGGGACACGCGCCTTGGCCCCATCCGAGGACACCCCGCAACCCGCCGACACCGCACGCGGAGCTGCTCGGAGGGCACCGGGACAATGAAGGCAGTGCCAGCCGAACCACGCCGCGATGTCGCCGCTGGGTGAGCTGCGGGAAGGCCCCGCGCATCCCTCCGGCGAGGCCGGGCTGCCCGCAGGGAGCGCTGAGTCCGCGCATCCCCTGCCCTGAGCCGGCCCGGCACCGCCTGCGTCCCTGGGATGCTCAGCTCTGAGCGCAGCGCTACAGCCGAGCCGCTCCGACCCAGCGGGGTGTATTTCGGGAGGAAGTTCTCATCTCTGAAGGTGCCCTTGGACAGATGAGTGAGAAAGTAATGAACGGGCGGGTGCCCCTGCCTGAAAAAGCCTTGTCTGAGGGCTACGCAAGGCTGCGGTACCGGGACACCTCGCTGCTCATCTGGCAGCAGCAGCAGCAGAAGTTGGAGTCGGCCCCCCCCAACACGTATCTGAGCCGCAGCCGCAGCATGTGGTACTCGCAGTACGGCAATGAAGCCATCCTGGTGCGGGACAAGAACAAGCTGGACGTCTCCAGGGACACGGGGCAGTCCAAGTTCTGTGCTATCATGTAATTTTGTGTCAGAAATCTGCACGTGGATGCGAAGCAGGTTTGCACAACCACAGGGCTGCGGCCAAAGCAGCGCAAGGGATGGGTCTGAGCGGCAGCCAGAGGTTTCTGTTGCTTTGTGCTGTCGGTGGCATCCCATGTTGGGTTGGAAACTTGCTTGGGATGTGAGAGCTGGCAGTGCCCAACTGGACCACGTGGATGGAGCACGTTGAGAACTCAGCCTTCCAAACACTTAGCAGGAAAGGCGCGCTGCAGTTTCCCAGCAAAGTGCCCTGTCTGGTGCCAGTTTGGTGCTACAGAAACAAATGACAGGTGGCACTTTTGGAGCTGATGCAGCAGAGCCCCTCTGTAGGAAGAAAGCAGCACGCAGCTCCTGGAGGGCGCTCGCTGGGTGCTGCCTGCAGGCAGAGGTGGGCTGCAGAAGGAAGCAGCCTGCTGAAGGTTGCTCAGCATTTCAGTTTTGTTGCATGTAGTCGTTTGGATGGATTTATGTGCTAATCCTGGTTGGATGACATCTCTTGTAGTAGATTTGGTGTGTACATAACTGTGTTTGGCAGTGTTTGATTCAGCCAATGGAAGGCAAGGTCAGGCTGAGAACCACAGAATCACAGAATGGCCAGGGTTGGAAGGGATCTCAAGGATCACGAATCTCCAACCCCCTGCCACACGCAGGGCCACCAACCTCTCCATTTAATATTAGACCAGGCTGCCCAGGGCCCCATCCAACCTGATCTGAGCACCTCTAGGGATGGACAGGGCATCCACAACCACTCTGGGCAGCTGTTCCAGCACCTCACCACTCTTATAGTAAAGAAACCAACCCAGCAAACACCCAAACCTTTCTTAAAAACGAAGCAGCACCATTTGCAGGGCTGTTAATCGCGTGCCCAGCACTGCAGTGTAACACTGGGCTGAAGGCACAGCCCTGCCTGGACACCCCATCCAGCAGTGCTGGGACACGGGTTCAGTTCCAGGCAAACCAGGACCCGGTGTTGACCTCAAGGTGGATCATTTACTTGCCTAAGATCAGGTATTTTGTTGTATTTATCTCAAACCTCTCCCTTTCAATATCGTTCAAGCACTTTATTTTAACACAGTGAAGAAGAACCTTCTCCCCCCCTCCCGTGTGTGCTGAATGCTGGAGCACAAAGGCACTGAGCAGCACACACCCTCATTACCCTGAGACCATACCCAGTGGATGCACTGCAAATCACAGGCAGCTGTTTGTAATGTAACTAATAATGCATGTGTGCGTGTTTGGTGCTGTGTGCGTGTGCTTGTAAAGCTAAACCTGCTGAGATGGACCTCCATGCTTCACCCACCTGCGTGTCGCTCCGTGCAGACGATCCTCTTGAGCTCCACGGGACGAGCTGGGAAACGTTCTGATCATGTTTGCTCAACCTGGGAAGCAGAACTCAGCACGTGAGCTGGACTCAGGAAGCTGCTGGGTTGGGCAGAGCAGTGCCTGGGCTGCAGGACGCGGTGGGTGCTCCTAGAAATGGGCTCATGCAGTGCCCAGGGAGCACTGACTGCAGTCTGAAGATGAGGGAGAGCAGCAGCACGTCCCCACCGCCCGCTGTTCCTTTGCTTTTCTTATAGAAAACAAAACAAAACACAAAAAACCCACATAGATTTATTTTTTTAATTTCGGTAAGAAAGATGATGAGGATCTTGGGTTTAATCAGTCCTTTTTTTTGTTCACGTGGCTGGGAACCAAAATTCACTTTGAAGAGTCGAACTACTCAAGAGTGAAAACTTGAAGTGCGTGCCTACATTCTTCCAGGATACGACAGCATGGAGAAGTGTGACTTGTCCTCCCCCCCCATCCCTGGGTGTGAGTGCATTTTCCACAGCCCCATTAGTCACAGTAGCTTCGTGGAGTGGCTGCTATGAAGTGAGCGTTGCTGCAAGCAGTGGTGGTAGATGCACTTGTTGAAAATGCTGCTGTAGCCTCTTGGATAAAGTGCATTAAAATGATTTGAATGCATCGCTCTGTGCACACTTCTTAATTCTGCATCTTTAGCACTGTGGCACGCAGAAGCTGCTGTCACTGCCAGTCAGCCCCAGCATGGCACTGCAGTGCCTGCCCATGGGGAGAAGCTGCTGGGGTGTAGGGGAAGTGCTGGAGATCACTGATGGAAGCAGTGAGCACATAGCAGGCAGTAAAGGCAAGGATGAAAAAGCATTTCCTTTGGAGGAATGACTGTCAGCACAGAGCTGCGCTGATACAACAGCAAAGCAAAACAGGTTTGCTGAAACCTTCGAGATCAGAGCATTTAAAGCCAGTGAGCAGGAACAGGGTTAGAGAAAGATTAACCCTGCTGGCTCCTGGCTGCTGTGACCCCTCCCTATAAATAAGGCACACATCCGAGAAAGCCAACGGAAAAAAACCACCTCCAGCAACCAGAATAGCTTTTGGCCACTGCACAGCAATGCCAGGAACTCTGCCCTGAGTGCAAGCACTGCTGCAGCTCCTCCTTCCCCAAATGCACCCCCTGTGACTTGGCTGCACCAGGGGGGAAGCTGGTAAGGAAACCCCCTCTGGTTCCTCCAGTTTTTGGGGGCTACAAAACAGCCAGCGTTAAATGTGGGTGATGTTTTCATCCTCTCCTATTGCAGGTCAGCTTCCCTCCATCGGATGCAGCTCTGACACAAACTGAGGAGGGCAAAACGTCATCCATCCCATGGCTGCATCAAAGCAGCCCAAATCTCTCACCAAAGGAGAGGGGCATTTTGCCCATTGGGTGCTGAGCTGCCATGCAGAGGAGCTGCAGGCCACACTGACAGCCCAGCATCTCCTGTGCCCTGCAGGCACTTCGCCCATAAGTGCAGCACCAGCAGGGGAGCTGCAAACTGACATCTCCAGGCTCACAGTGCAGTGCAGTTTGTGCTCCTCTGTTAGCAGTGCTGTGCAGCTGATCACTACACCAAACCCTGCTGGCTTTCGGCTGGAGAAATGCAACACGAGGGGAGGCAGAGAGAGAGGAGAGGAGGACAGAGGGTAACAAACCACACACACACAGAGCTGTTTTTCTTTTTATTATGAAAACAAAACAGATGCCCCAGGACCAGGGTCCATTACCAGTAACATCAAAGATTACTTCCTAACTTCTGTCTTTTTAAATTCTGTTGTGTTTGAGGCCAGCAATTTGCAATAAACAAGCTAAACTACTTACACTGACTTCTTTTTTTTTTTTTTCTCTCTCTTCAGTAACTGACATTTACAGGAATATACTAGAAATGGCACTAAAAAGTTTTAAGAAAGAGAGTTACGGTAAGTTTGCATGCACATCATACAGAAAAGTAACAGCTTTTGTTTTTAAATATTAAAAAAAAAAAAAAAAAGGAAAAAAAAAAATACAAACAGCAAAATCTTTTTGGATGGGTGATGCCAGTAGCAGGGATGAGCTCCCAGCGGCCTGTGCCGAACCCCAGAGCTGCTGGTTTATTTCTTTCTTTTAAAAACGACGTTTAAAAAGATATGCAAATACCATTTCTTAGTTTAAAAAATGCATCCCGTTGGTTTGTTTTTGTTTTTTTTTCCACAAGCAGAAAATGCTGCTCGTGTAAGGAACCCTCAGCCCAGGTTTGCCTGCAGTTCAGCCCCAGTGGGAACTGCCCACGTGTTGGAATATATCTTAAAATCCAGCACGAAAAAGGTGGTGGTTTCTCTTTGCTGTGCCCCAATCCCTTCCCCCAAAGCTCCAACCCCAGCCTTAAAAAAACGCCGTTCCTTTCAAAGCAAATTCACAACTGGTCTAAGAGCCCCCAAAACGAACTACTGAGGTCACTGCAGTCTGCTTCTACCACACAGCACATGGGAAGAGACCTCCCTGCTACCTAACCTGCCCCTATACACGCACACACGTGCCTGTGGATGTGGGGTGAGCGCGTGCATCTGCTGCAAGCAAACAACAGAGCCCCAAACATCAGCTCTGCAGCCACAGACCCTGCAGGTAGGAAAGCTTCAAGGCGCAGCAGGACAAAACTGACGAGGTTCGGTCAGCAGAAAGCTGCTCTACCCAACAGATGTCAGGGGACAAAGCAGGGCTGAGCCCTGGGGTGTTGGTCTGGGCCCACTGAGCCTGCATGTGATGGGCTGCCCAAAAACTGACCATCAGAGAAAGCTCAGCCAGGCTTTAAAGGCGCAGCGATGCTGGTCGATGGCTCTGCTCAACGTAGGAATTTGTCAGCAAAACCAGCTTCACGTGTACCTATGAAATCTCACTGATTTCACAGACACCTCCCCTGGAAAACAACGCTGCAAAAAAATTTCAGCTGTTTTTATTCTGAAGCTTAAAAACGTTATTTCAAATATTCTTTATACATTTGATCACTTCCAAGTGATTTCATGGCATCCCACTGGCACGTCACGCCACACCAACTCAAATAAGTCTTCTATCCTTTCCGTTTCCAACTCGATTTAACAGCTGCTACTTGCTATGGACTGAAAACACCTCTTCTTTCCTGGAGAGGCTCTGATCTGCAGGTACAGAAGCATCACTAATGGCACGTTGGGAGATAAGTGCTACAAACAACATGAAAGGAATCCTAAGAACAACATTTTGCAGTGACCACTTGGTTTTCTCCTGAAACGAAGGTTGTGGCAGAATGGATTTCTCCTGCAAGCTGCCATTTCGTGGGAAACACCTTCACTGCCATGAAAGCTTTCCACCCAGTGGAAGCTGAAGCCACTGCCTGTTGGGTGCTGCCTGCACAGGAGCTGCTTCTGTCCACAGCAACCATCACCTCACATCGATGGTGCAGCTCCAGTCAATGCACATGGGAAAGGATTTCAGCAGGGAGAACCAGGAGCCTGTTTGATCCGTGCTGTCGTGGCACTGAAGTGGTTGTAATTACTTTAATTAAAATACTGGTTAGTTTTGATAATGCACGTCTAAGGCGAAACGCAGATGGAAAGCAAGCCCATTATAAAAACAAACAACAAAGCTCTCAATTAGGTGTATATTACATCTCCTCATAGTCCATTCTGAAAATATATTACTAAACATCTGTCTAGGGGGAGGTTTTTTTTTTTTGTAAGGGTGGAATGGAGAAAAAAAAAAATATAGCAACTAAAAATAACTTTATTGTTAATGGAAAAATCATTCATTTCAGTAAGAATCAGAGCACCCTACAGCTCACCTGATCCCGACACGAAGGAAACTCCACCTGCAAAGACCTCCAGGGCTCCAATGGGCCCAGCACCCACTGACAGCACGGCCCAGGGATGCTGTGAGCAGCAGAGCTGCTTTCGACTCGCAGCTGAAAACGGCAGCTCCTTTCTACAGCTTCAGAGAGCGTGCAATGGTCGCTGTGCAGACACAGAGCCACGGCAGCTGTGCGACCTGAAGGGCATCCAGTGGTAGCAGAGCCTCGTGGGTACAGCCAGCAAGACAGCAGTTGATGGGCACTAAGTGACCGACAGCCACTCACCTACGTGAGAAATAAACACCGGTGCAATCTGCACCACTGGAGACCTCAGCAGGGTGAGCTTTGGGGCTGAGCCACAGCAGAGATGCAGCCATAGGGGCTGGTAGTGGGAGAAGGAAAGGCGTAACTTTCTGTTAAACTCTGTATATTTTCTTTACAATAAAAAGCTAAAAAGTTAAGAATTTACAATAAATTTCTGCCCCTCAGATTACAAACTTTATATAGTTACAGAACTGCTGTTTTCCTAAAACTGGATTATAAAATGAAAAACCAACACTGTTTCACACACAAAAAAAATAAAAATGGAGAAGGGGAGAGACACGTGGAAATAATACAGACAATATAAGGTGTTCCATTAAGAAATTACATCTACCTGCACGTCTTCAAAATCTGTACAAAACAAGAAAGAAGGGGCTGGATTGGAAAGAGAGAGGACAGAAAACAAAACCCAAAGTGAACACACAAGACATGACAGAGCACCAGACACACAACAGGCCGGACCGTAGCACCTGGAGGTATGAAGTCCAGCGTATTTAAATAACATCTCTGTGTTCTTCTTCATCTGGTTTGAACCATATTAGAAGTCTGCATCATTTCTGCTGGTCTTATTACTTTTAGTGAGTTTTAAATGACCAATGTGTTTAATAAATAAAGTACTTATATATACACGTGAGACAGAAAACGGAGTGTATTGCAGCAGTGCAGGTGAAAACGTTAGGCTGACTTGTAAGAAATTGCTAGCCTTAAAAAACTGCCTTCCCCTCATCCTCACCGTTCCCTCCCTCCGACCCCCCCCCCTTTTTTTTTTCCCTTATAACTATAATTGAGGTAAACACTTCAGGATCTGGAAACCTGCACCCTGCATGACACAGAAGTAGCATTCCCTTTCTAGGAGCTCATTGCAGATACGAAGATAAAGGGTGGGAAAGAAACAAACGAAACCAAAACCGAGCAACAAAGCACACAACCAACATCCCTCTCTGAGTCCCCTGCCAGCTCAGCCTCAGCTGGAGCTCGAGTGCTCTTTTATTTTAAGCCCAGACTGAGGTGCTTGTCGTGGAGAAAGTACTTAAGCACGTGCCTAATAGTGAGCACACGGCTGCTCTTGGTCACTGCAGGCAGCGCGCCTCGAGGCCCAGCTGTACTTGCAGCCAGGAGATGCTTTCAGTTACAGCACAAGCTTTCATAGAGAATGCCAATTTCCTGGAAATTATCCATTTGATGTTAAAAATAACATTCCCAAGAAACTTGGGTATCCTTCGCTCCCTTCTTATCGATGCATTCCCAAGGAAAATGGAAATTTGGAGTGCTAGGAAGCACACATACCAGTATTCGTATCGCTCATGTGCTGAGAATTAAATTCATGCTTAAATACCTTCCTCAACAGGTGCCTATGCCTCCACCAACAGTAACAAAAATGTTAGCAATCCACAGCATGTTGGATTTCTTCTTGTTTCTTCTTTTGTTTTTGTAAAAAAGATGATAGCATCTGACATTTCCATCACACCGCAGACTTTGAGGTTAAGAATCCTAGTGCTAATAAACAAATACACCAACTAGTTCCAAAGCTACCATCTTTTAGATACAGTACCATTTTACAGATTTCCTTGTGAGCCAGGTGGGCTTATTAAAAGAGAACAATTTGGGGAGAAGGAAGGGGCAGAAGGGAGACGTACTACAAACTCTGCAGAAACCTACTAGCCACCTCCTGCAAAGAGTTCCAAGTTCTTCCATTTTCAACCTAATTTCTTCAGTAAAAAGTGTATTTTAGAGACTTTATGCAAAGGGAGCTGCTTGCCATAAAGTCTAGTCACACACACGCAAAGATCTTCGACCTAGTCATAAAAAAAAAAGCGCCCCTGGAAAATGGAAGATAGCTTTTATAACACTGAATTAAAACAAAACAACAACAACAAAAACCAACAAAAGTCAGAGAGGAAGGAAAAACAAACAAACACCTGACCACCGTGGAACAAGAGCAGTACTTTAAGGAGAGAAAGGGACACTGCAGAGCATCGGTGAGGGTGATGTCCATTCTGTGCTGTTTGTGTAAGTGTCCTTGGCTCATTCTGAATCGCTGCTGTCTGAGCTGGAGCCGCTGGAGCTGCTGCTGCCTGACTCGGAGGAGCTGCTGCTGCTGAGCCGGGAAGGGCCTCCAGAGGGAGCAGAGCCAGATTTCTCTGCGGGAAAGAAGGCAGCAAAGTGGTGACTTCCAAGGAGCTGAACTCCACAGAGAAGGTTTGCCAATGGCTTTTGTTACCCACAGCTTCATTCATGGCTTCGTTTTGCCTAGACAGCTTATTGACCCACTGACTTTGCCAGCTGGAACAGTGCCCGGCCCAGGGGACAGCAGGGTTTTCTAATGCTGCAGGTGGCCATGAAAGTCTGGGCTCTGCATTGGAGCCCTGTGGAGGGCACTGCAGTGCTCCAATGCAGGGCCCAAACTTTCATGGCCACCAACAGCTGGAAATTGCTCCTGGCAAGGTGGCACAGAGTGCCCAGGCAGCTGTGCTCACTGCCTGCTGTGATTCAGGGCAAGGTGGAAGCAGCTCAATTTGCCCTGGAATAACCTTTCATCCCATCTTTCACACTACTGCACTATGAGGTGGCTTTTTCAATCCCACCGTGGAGAAAAATCACCTATTAAACATGCCATGGTACTGGTTTACTGTGATACTGTATGAACAACCCTGCAGAGACAAACAGAGCAGCACATCTTGCTCTGAAGTTTGAATCACCTCTAAGACAGGTCCTGTTTACCACCAAGAGGAGTTTCCAACAGGACAGGGATCAGAGCAAACCCTATAGAGCAGCTCAGGTGCCCAGCAGTAACTTGCTGTGCCCACACTAATGACAGACTGGGGGAACTCCCATAGATAAAGCCAAGGCTACACAAAGGCAGCAGGTTGGCCTTAGTGAAGACAACTACCTGCACACACAACTTTCCAGGCATCAGCAGCACACAGAACCACAGCCATTACCTTTCTTTGCAGGTTTCTTGTTGTTGTTTAACTGCCCACTGACATCCTGTAGCCGTTTTTCTAGTTCTTTCTTCTTTTCCTGAGCTAACTCCTCTTTAGACTTTGCTGCTTGCTTTTTTCCACTTGCAGCTGTGGAAGAGGAACATACAGTTTCTGAAACCGCATTGTTGAGGGTGCAGAAAAGGGTGGACATTGCTATTTCACAGGGCACGTAAGTCTGTGCAAACACTTTGCAGTGAAGCTGCTCAAATCAAGTGACCACGTAGCAACTACACATCTCAGATAAAGGACAACACGTGAAGTTGCCTAGATCATCAGTCACCATCACCCTGTAACATGCACTTCTTGAGAGAGGCCTTCTGGAAAGTGTTCCAGGAGATAGAAATATATCTGTGCAATAACCTTGTGGTTACAGGTTACTTACCAGCTAGTTATATGCTCACTAGTTACACGTTTGTTATTACAGAATTGTTACATGGGCTTTCTGCCCTGTAAAATACAGCGTCCCATTAAATGCTGTCAGGAGGAAGCAAGCATCTGCCATTAAAACTCAAGACACCTCACGTGAGAATAGATTGCTTTAAGTTGCTTGAAATATAAAACCAAAGAAAAATTAAAAACCAGCAAAGGCTGGCAGACAACAGGAATGTTGCTGCCTCGGTCAGGACGGAAATGGTGAGGAGTAACAGCAGTGCTAATGCTTCTGAGCAGAAGAAATATCACTCACAAGAGTAATTGAACACAGGTGTTGGCCAGTATCGGAAGCAGACGGGAGCCAGATATTTTGCCTGATCCAGCAAGAAAATGCCTGTATTTCTGCACACTGCTTTCAAGCAACTTTTTTTCTCTTTTCCTTTAAAGGGAAACTGGAAAGCAAAGTCCTGAGAGGGTGCTTGTGAACACTGAGCACCACAATAGGCAGCAGAAAGCAGGAGAGTCTGGGGAAAGTCATGCATCCACATGGTGCCTGCTGACTGAGCACAACAGCTCAGGGCATGCTGGGCTCAGAGCAGTGGACAGACAGACATCTGAGGTCATCTCTGTTACTCCAAAGCAAAAGGATGCCTCTCGTCCCTAGCAACTCTGGAAAATGTTTTCCTCAGCTACTGCAGAATTAAAGGACTTGGGGGAGGAAAGAAGAAACCAAACCAGCGTAGTAAAAAGCAAAAAGAAAGGTCAAAGACTGAGTTTTGCTCAGGTGACCTGGAAGTCCTGTTGTAACAAAACAGAGGTGCTCTGCAAGAGTCGTGAGTAGCTTTTGTGTTATATTCTTATCAGAACAACTTCCCTCTTAACCTATGAATAGATGGACTGAGCCAGGATCACCTCAGGTAAGTGGCATGCTACTGCTATTTAGCTGGGGCTCGATTCTCAAGGGGCTACAATTCACTCTGTGGTTGAAGCACAGAAAAGGCTGTACCATACTGCTCAGTACACTCCCCAGTGCATTAACATGCACCTCCTTATCTGACACATTAATACGTGGTAGGACTAGCAGTTCTGTGGCAAGCATACAACTCAGACACACCCAGAATGCTTACCTTACCCAAGTAAATGTGTGCAATTCATTCATTTCCTTGGTGTTTGGGTTTTAAACAACACTTCCTTCCTTCCTAATTAGATGATAAACTATTCAGGGTAAGAAACTGATCCTTCCACATATATGCATGTTACACACAACATAATGAGACTGAAACTGTATTGCTTATCTAGAACGTAGAAGGCACTACAGATATCACACAGGTCTTGCAGAGGAATACAATGATCCCCTCAAGTCTCCTTGTGAGGGCCATATGTGAAGAAAAAAACCCCAAAAATTCTGCCATTTTCTCAGGTAGAAAAGAATCTCTAAACATCCCAGTCATCACATACCCAGCAGCTGGATAAGAGAATCCCAACACACGTGCCCTGACTCCAAAGCTGAGCCCAAGGGCTCGTGAAGGACTGTGTGCCCCAAGAGGTAACTTACAAAATGGTTTCCTTTGTTTTTTCTGTAAACAAGATTTCACGTATCTCTCCAGTTCTCGCAAAGTTGTGGGCTTCAAGGTTTCAAAATCTATTTCTATCTCATCAGGATTGGAGTCCCTGAGGGAAGGTTCTCGTGACTGGATGATGTGCACCACTCTGCCCAGCTTCTCCCCAGGCAGGCGGTTGATGTCCAAGCTGAGCTGTCGTTTCTCATCATAGGTCATGGGCAGGCCTTCCTCCTCCTCATCCGAATCATAGGTTGCAGATGCCTGTTTTCCTCCTTTCTTGGGCTGCCTGGGGAGATTGGCAAGCATGGAAACATTCATGGGCATATAAGGAGCAAAGAACTCTTTCTTCTACTCCCCTTGTAACAAACATCCCAATGTTTTTGGCTTTGAACCTCTAGCCAGATAGCTTGAACAGCACCACAACTTTTGGAAAAGTTCAGAAATCTGAGATAAGCTGTTCTACTCCAATTATATTTTAGTGCTTTGAGGCACGACAACAAGCCGAAGCAGCAGCAGGGGGGGCAGAAATGAAATAGCATGTTATTGCTGGCTGGGTAAAAAGGCAAAACCTTATCTGAGAGCGACTAGGCAGGGATTCTGAAAGAGTCAGAAGGTGGAAATGTGATGGCTGTGCTGCCAGCCCCAACTTGAAAACTCCCTGAAGCTGTCTGTAATGGAGATGCTGTTCGATGGTGAGTTAACCATGCTGACAACCGAGCTTCACCAGGGAACAACAGAACAGGAGGGACAGAGCTGGGCTGAGGGCTCTTTGTGTTCCCACTTAAGGCAATGTGCAGGAGACAAGCTCTCACCTGCTAGCTGTGGTCGTGCTGTTTGCCTTTTTAGCTGGGGCTTTCTTCTGCTGGGTTTGCTTTGGTGGTTGAGCCACCTTAGGCTTCTTCTCCTCCTCAGCTTTTACTTTGTGCTTTTCCTTTTCCTTCTCCTTGTCTTTCTTTTTCTTCTCTTTTTCCTTCTTCTCTTTTTTTTTCTTTGGTTTGTTCACTGGTGCTTGGGACAACGCAGCTAGCTGCTCATGGACTGCCTTTAGCTGGAAGAGAACGATGAAAAAATACATCAGACTTCAAGGCAAGAAAACTGATGCCTCCACGTACTCTTCCCTCCATATCCTGGACATGTAAGTATATCTCAAAGTTAGTAAGCCTGCAGACTGAACTTGGGAAACTCTGATCTGAACTTCTTCAAAGAATGCAGTGCAGGTGTGCAGAAGCTAACTGATGTGAAAACTTAATTCTTGCTTCACAGGAGGCAAATAAAATAATAGCTTTGTCTAAAGTGCTGACAGTGTGGGCTCTGAAATGCTAGGTTTGCTTCCTACTACCTTGCTCTGAGACACTGGACAGGGTACTTTATTAATGCTTGGTTACATTACAGCAGCACATACAACCACTGTAGCAACTTGCACTCTACACAAGCATAATAAGAAAAGCTATGGCTTACGGTCTTGCAATCACAACAGTCAAAATAGTTCATTCTATGGAGTACACAGTGAAAACTTCCCACAGGAAGCTTGTGACAGATTTTGTCGTGCTTGAGCTCTCATACTAAATGGATCTCTCAGTGCCTCCCAGACTCCTACTGTCGATGGTGGCTGAATACTCTGGGATGCCCAGAAACGAGCCCAGAGCAGCAGCACTGAGAGTGGTTATCTCAAAGAAAATTAACATCGCATCAAAAGTGCACTAATTATTTCCCTGCTGAGAGCTTTCCTCTTTGAGCTGGCAGAAGGAGTGATCTCCCTGCTGCATCTCAGGCTAGCTGGGATTTTTAAAGAACTAAATTAAATCCTCCTTCCTGCTAAGCCCTTTCTACTGCAGACACACACACAGCTTGGCCACTACAGTAACCTGCTCCTGGAGCTCTGCCAGCCGAGTGGCTCGCTCTTCTTCCGAGTCTGAGCTGTCTGAGTCAGAAGAGCTCTCCTCACTGCTGTGGCTGCTCTCTGTGCTTTTGCTCACAACTGGTGCTGTTGGAGGAGGAGGAGGAGGGGCCTCCGCAGGCTCATCAGGCATCTTTGCAAACCTCATCTCAAAGACGTCCTACAAGAGAGAGGGAAAAACGGGTGACAAAGGAGCCTCACCCACAAAGACCTCATTCTGGTCTTTCAAACACAGCAGATACATTAGCATAGATCAGGGCCTTACTGCACTAAATAAGGTGCTGTAATAATGAACGATGATGAGCACTCTAGAACATGGACTGAAATCATCATAGTAAGAAACAGCTGCCCCTCTTTTGAGGGGCAAAGTTCAAGGCTTATCCAAGACTTGGCAGGGGAAGCTTTCTGTATCTCCACGTTTCGTGGCCCAAGAAAGCGTTCCCACTATTCTATATGCCAATGATTGTGAAATTTTAAGAGTGGGATGTGGCACTGGGCTATGCCATGTGCAGAGCATGACATTTCTGCAGCAGAGGGCATGAAAAGGCTCTTTTCAAGGGCTGAAGGAATCACTGACTCACCCCCGATGATGCCAAGAGCAAATCCATGCTCGGATCTCTGAATGGACACCTCACAGCTGAGCTAACAGACCCTGAAAGATGCATTTAGCTACACCATTACCTGGAGCTTCCTGGCCATGGCTACCACTTCGTGGTCTGGAGGATTGTACTTGTAACAATTAGAGAACATTAACCGAATATCTGCTGCAAAACCTTGTGCATCCTGGTATTCCCGACTGTCCATCTTTTTCTGCAAGCAAACAAGCCAAAGGAAAAGGGGAGATAAAGCCATAAACAAGAGGCATTTTTAATTACATGGAAGACATGTGCGTCATGGAGAGAGCTCAGAACAACTGCAAAAATCACATCTAAGAGAACAGTAGTTTGATCAGGCTTATTAGTTTCCAAATAACATTTAGAGTCACTGCTTTTAAAAAGAAGTAAACAAAAACCAGACAACTAAAGCTAACATAGTTCCACAATAGTTTAAACTCTCATAATTCTAAATTTGGGTTATTTTCTTTGTTTTTAAATAATACTCTGCAAGTTTGTCAGTGCCCATAGTTTGTTAGAGAGCCATTTAGAAAACATTTACTGGACCAGAAACTAATGTAAGTAAAGCAAAGGACAAAAGGACAAGAAGTCAACAGTTACAACTAAAGGAACACCCTCATTTCTACATGCTGCTTGGGTATATTTACTGCATAAATCTGAAAAGGCAGAAAAGATGGCTAGCACCTAGTCTGACTAAGACAGAACACTTCTCTTGGTGATGTCTACAGCCAGACAGGCACTTAGAGTTAAGCTACAAAAGCAACTCTAGATTTAATAAAGTCCAACTGAGAGATACAGAATTTGCCCTTCATGAATGTGTGCCTAATGTTATTTTCTCACTGCAGTGAGGATAACTATCAGGGACTAAATATTTGCACCTTGATCCTCTCATTTTCCTCACCATCACCCACTTCTCTTGCTGCCTGGGACTGAATGACTTGGTTTAGAAAACAATTCACAGCACTCCTAGCACTTAATTGATTTTATGCATGTATTACTACCACATATAAAATCTTAACTCCAATTACTCCTTCCAAAAGGAAATTTAAAGAAGGTTAACACTAGATTTTGTTTGCATTTTAAAGAGTCTGAAGGAACTCATTGCTTGCCAAGTGCTTGCAGGCCTCCCTTTTGCATGCCTCGTGCATCTGCATCCCCCAGTGAAGGGAAGGGGCTGCCTGACATGCAGCACACAGGATGGGCAGATCCATCCTCCATCAGAGCAGAAGGCTCAAGGTCTGCAGCTCACACCTAAGTCTCAACCCAAGCAAAACTCCCGCTTGCCCAATGGAAGCAACAGACATTTCACAGCTCCACCGTAGACACTGGAAACACCTTGAATCATTGCAACGAATGCCAAAGCTGCTTTGATCCAGAAAAAGGCAGAATTTCACCTCCAGGGATGCACTGGAGGGGGCTGCACGCCTGCAGCATCTCACCCCACTGTACCACAGCCAGCTGCCTGTCAAACTTGTGTCACGAGAGCTCATTTTCTTGGTAACAATGAAGGAGGAACCGCAGCACAGAGATGGAAAGGGAATTACGTTTGTGCCTCTCCTGTCTGAAGAAGAGCCGGCCCTGTTTGAAAAGTGTCTCAGGCCAACCCCAAAGCAAAACAATATGTTCAAACGAGAGGGGCCATTTATTCTAAAACACATCTTTTGTGAAAGGCCCTTTTGATCCGCTGTATTTGTTTGGCACACTCAATGGCTGATTACAGCCTGCGAAATACATTTCAGCATCTAAGGCTTTGCTTTCATCCAAAACCAACAGTTTCATAGCCCAACAACATTTTAATCTGTGGATTTTTTTTTTTTTTTTTTTTTTTTTGCTTTCTTGTAAAGAAAAATTAACTTGACAAAAGAAAACAGATTTTAAAATTATGCAACAGAATATATTTGGGCTATAAACTCATTTCGAAATATTCAGCTGTTAACTATTTTTTTTTCCTTACATTTACAATGGCAAATCAGAAGTCATAGACAGCAGGGCTGGAGGGGCTGGGAAGGCAGCTAGAAAACTCTTATTTCTCTCAGCAATCAATGGTATTGTTCAGTATCCTTTAGTGTTCAGAAATATGTTTCCTAATGTCTAGCCTCTCCTGCTTTAAAAGAAGCCTTGTCCTGCCCACAAAGGATGAAGAGAAGACATTGTTCCCACCCTTTCTGCATCAATCTTTTACTGGTTTGAAGACCCAATACGGCCCCTTTTCGTCTTCTCCAAGGACCTCAGAGCACAACAAAATGGAAGCCTGGGATCTTCCTCTCCCAGCAGAATATCAGTGAGGCACAAGTGCTCCAGTTTCCCAAACTACTACCTTCATCTCAGCCCTTATCCCACCTTTGTACCACTTGTTTCAGGCTCCCACTTCTTGCCTGCAGCTCAACTCACCCTTCTTATTCTCATCTCTCCAAGGAAATTGCTGCAGGCCTTTAGCAAAGCTTGGGTAAAACCCAATCAACAACAATCAGGACTTAGATAACAGCTTCCAGACATCTGCCCTCACAACAGCCCTGTGGGGTAGGTTAAGCATTATTCTCTCCATGTAATGGTTGGAAAAACAAAGGCACAGAGCCGTGGGGAAACTTGCCAAAGACCATGGTATCAGGGCAGTTAATAACTCAGACACCACTAACTCTTTATCTAGCCCTCAGCACAGGCTGTGATGACTATTCTCTCACCACCTTAAAACAGAGTAGCTGCAGTAAGAACCACTGCAGCACCACAGCCAAATGGCATGGCACACCAGAGCACTGCAAACTGCTTGCCAAGGAACATATAAGGAACCAGGAATGCAGCTGCTCTTTAGTCAGCCAGGCCTCTGAGACAATCCCACACAGGGGCCAAGCTGGGTGCACAGCTCATCCTGGCACGCTCCTGAAAGCCAGCAAACACACCTTAACTTTCTGCACGCAGAAGAAAGTCTCATCTCCACCAACACTGATTCCCAATGGACAAGAAGGGAATTAGAGTAACACAGCTGTCCTCCACAGATATTTAGAAGGGACTCAGAGAAACTTCCCAGTCTACTGAGAAAAACACACTGAATACTGGACCACACTAAGCTAAGGTCCTGAAGAGCAAAGCTTGAACCACATAAGCATCACATTATTTCCTCCCCTCACCTAAGCACCAGTTGATCTTCATGTTCCAGCTGGAATTGCTCAGTGTAAGCTTATCTAGACCACACATCATGCCAACAACTAGCCAGGCAGCAGCTTCTGGAAATGGGATACTATCAATTGAATCCTATGAAATACAGCACCTCTTCTTCTGAGTGCAACATAATCCCAATGACACAAGTGTAAACAGCTGGACTGTTCACAAAGAGGAGAGGATGCCACACAGTGTGCTTTGTAGGGCAGAAAAAACACATCCCAGATCATGGGGGAAAAAAAAAAAAAAAGGAGAGGATAAGGAAACAAAATATAAAAATATCCAGATAACATCCAAACGGTTTTCATTTTCCACCCTTGTCCCTTCCCTCCCCCACCAGAAGGAGTCAGTCCTCTGCAACCAGAGGGCTGAGATATCCTGCAAGAGAGGTGGTAAGCGTGGACGTACTTTAACAGTACTGAGATCCATGGGGTGTTTGATAATATCGTGATAGTCATGTAATTCCAAGGCCTCTGCATCCACGGGCTTGTAAAAGGGCCACGCGTAGGCCGCGTGCTTCTTGGAAAGCATCTCCTTGAGAATGCTGTCACAGTACTTGAGGTGCTCAGACAGTTTGCCCTTCTTCCCCGCATGCTGGGGGACCTCTCCGTCCTCAAGGTCTTTCTTTGGTGGTTTGATGGGCCGGCCGCCGCTCTCCCTCCGAGCGATGATTTTGGCCTGTTTGGGGTCTGAGAGGGGCGTGGGGGACTCGCTCCTGCTGGCAGTGATCACAGAGGTGGTGGGGGTGGTCGTGTCCGCTTTCCGCTTCACTCCCTTTTTCTGAAACAGCAAATGGAGAGAGCTGATGAGTAACGAGCCCGGTTCTCAGACCGAGCTAGGAGAAACCTAGCACAATTCATCCTCATTCCTGAGATCTGCCTTGTCCTCGGACAGAAAACGTGATTATTTCACTGGGATAAACGGGACTTGTGACCAGAGGCTTCAACGCGCACTTCAGTGACAACGACACGATGTGCTGCTGCATGTCATCTGAGCCACAGTAACCAGCCATCTGCACATCTCCAACCCAACCCCAAACAGGATGCAAAACACGTAAGCTCTACACATTTCACTGAGATTTAAACTAAGGACTCTTACCTCATGTTTGCCAAAGGAAAGGAGTGCGCCCAGTCGATTACTGCAGCTCAGCTGATGCATGGTGACTTAGTAAGTGTCAGTAACTTAACCACATGTCTGAGTCCCCAGTGGCAGGATCAGGCTATAAGTTCTGAACCAAAGCATATTAATCACCAAAGACCTATGAGCCTTCACTCCCTTTTACTTAGTGAATGTGCTAAGGCAGATTGTTCGTTACGGACAAGAGTTAAGAATGTAATGATTTCGTTTCGAGCAAATAAAACACACATCCCACGTTAATTCAAGCTGTTACTGTCCAGTCAGTTCTTCCTTTTGCTCCTATGGAGGAGCAATTCTGGAGGAAACAAAAAAAGAAAAAAAAAAAAGGAAGGAAAAAAAAAATAAAATAAAATGGTCCCCAAGGAAATCTAAGGCAAGTCTTAAGTAAATCCCAAGCAGGATTATCTTTGCAGTACATATTTGCATATTTTTGCTTTTGGGCTCATCCTTGAATTTTGAAACTAAAGTGATTCTCAGAAGCAAATGATTTGGTCAGACATTGCATTATGAAACAGGCTCCTGAGGAGGACAGCTGTGAGATCAGATTTACAACATCCTTAAGTAATTCCCAGCCTGTTGGGTGAAACAGGGAAAACAAATTCTGTGGCTCCACTGGCCCATGCAACCTTAAATCAAGAATGCTGATGCTTCTGCACTTAAATTCTTATTGTAGAGAACAAAAAAATGTCATCTAATGTACGTTTTTATCTCTTTTTAAAGCAATATACAGCTTGCTAGGAAAACAGCAATTATTTACAGCAACATTTTCACTTACACATAAATTAACATAGCAAAACACCATTGACACCTCCCAGAAGGCTACTCAGTAAGGAAGACAAAATTAATGTACCCAAAACCTGCAGGCAACACCAATCTCCTCCAGCTGGAGTGGCAGGCTTGTCTTGAACTGGTTTACAGCAGAGAGAAACACTCCTGTGCTGGAGTGTGCAAATCTTAAAGGAACAGTCCCAGGAAAAATCAGAGATTCAGTTGGAGGGAAAAGATGCTTTGGGTAACATAGATCAAAACGGGAGAAATCTCCAATAGCCTTCTGATTCATGAAGCATCCGCCCTGGCTAAGGCTATGGTCAGATAAGAGCTTGTAATTGAGTTGGAGCAATTATAGTCAACACCACCTGAGTTGGGCTGTGGTAAAACTGGCAAAACTTTGCCCAACCCACTCAAACCCAACAGCAAGCACTCGTCTGAGCACATCCCAAAGGGACAACGATGGCCAGAGAAGCAAGGAGTCAAACGCCAAGAGAAATACTGCACGTAACCAGCAACGAGGGGATGAAATTAAAGCACTGCTTAGCAATATTGCTTTGTGAAGAGGAAGAGGCCAAGTTCTGTTTACCTTGACTACCGGCGGCGTAGGAGGAACCACGGGCATTATTGGAGCAGCAGGAGGAGGGGGAGCAGCGGCAGGTGGGGCAGTGACAGGTGGGACATTAGCAGTGATGGTTGGCACAGGGGTGGCAGCGATGACGGGCGTCTGAGACACGGCTGGAGGGACGCTCTGGAACGGAGCCGGCGGGGAGACAGAAGACACGGCCACTGCTTGCTGTGCTCCTTTCAAAGGACAAAGTGAAAACACATTGTGACCTACCGACGGTTACAAGTGCTGACAAGACATGGGGAGCAAAGTGACAGTGGTGCTGCTGTACCGGGCAGTCAGGGGCTTGGCAAAATTGGTCCCCAATTCATGGCCACAGGAAGAGCACGCAGGACACCGAGTGAGATTTGCCTGGTGCTGTTACTCAGGGTCCAACAAGAACTGGAGAATCAATTACTTGACCTGAGTCTTCCTACCATGAGCTTGAGGCCAGCCCAGTGCAAGCAAAACGCACCACACCTGCACATGTCTACCTCCCTCAGCTCTCTGTGCCTTGGTTTCTTCTTTGCATACAGAAAGCAACAGCACTGCCCTTCCCCACAGATGTGCTGTGCAGATGGATACATCACAGATACTTATATGACAAACAGAGTGGCAGTAAGACAGACAAGGCCTGAAACACTGGGTGAACATTATCTAGTCATCTCTCACTCCACTGCTCTGTTAGACTGCATAGTTCCTTTCCCAGCCTCCTCACCATCTGCAAAATCAGCTTGGAACATGGGTCAGACCTTAGCAACAGGCTTGTAACATTTACTGACACCAGATCAGGGAAATACCTGCACTCTGTGAGCCCACCGATGGTTTACGACCTTTGCCTTTAGGAACTGGGGGTAATAATTCGACTTCCTCCTGAGGCATCTGAGCAACCTTCTGCAGAAATATCTTCTCAAGGGCTTGGGCCATAAGGACGATGTCATCTGTGGGCTGCAGGAAGAAGACAAGCCTGAGCTGTGTCATCCACACATCAGAAGGTACAAGATCACACTTTGAAATCCCCAGTGATGCTGCCCTTCAAATAAGTGATGGCGCCCAATTCCCTGATAATAAACAGATTAGCTCTTTTCTCTCCTTGCATGCAACTCTCCTGCTCTTCTAATCTAGTGCAGAATGTAATAATCACAGCCTTTAAACATTTCATCCAGAGAATATCGGGCTTATGCTGGAAGTCCTGATAACTAGCATCAGTGTGGAAGCAGAAAACTGGAACAGATGAGCCATCCTCCCTGCTTGCCAACAGGTCCTAGAGAAAAGTGTAAACATATAGCCTGTGGTTCAAACTAATTAACTTGTTTACTTTAACTTGCTTTCCAACATGGGTCAACGATGACAAGTCATTGCAACAAAGAATACCAGCTTTTAACAACTTAACAAAGTAGCAAATAAGACAAATCCAAAACATTAATAGGCAATTCAAAGATGTATAAGTATGAACGAGATACAGGACAGAGTTATGCAGCTTACTGAACTGCTCTCTGCAGGAGACACTGCTTATTGCTAGACAACTAGTGCAACACAGCATTAACAGCCCACAAAACACCTGCAGAGCATTACACAAACTTCAGCTCATCCTGAAGAGCTCTTAAATGAAAATGAATCAAAACTTGCTATGCAACTCCAAAACAGAAATGTGCCTCATAATTATATGCATATTTGCCATTTTAACTACTGCAAGGGAAGAAGGACATGGCAGAAAGACAGCTCTGTGCATTTCATGTAATGCAGTTCCAACTGGTGGCATCTTGAATCCTTGCAAGGACGGCCTGCAGCACAGAGGAGATGCCCTGTTTAAAACTTGTGCTGTAACAACTTGCTTTTTTCCTAGGCAGTGCCCCAGCTAGGTGCTTGTCTAGGCTTTTTACCTTGTTATAAATATAACAATTTGTAAACATGGTGTTGAAATCCTGCATACATTCACTGGCACTCCAGTAATAGTTATGTTCCAGGCGTTTCTTGATAGTTCCCATGTCCATGGGGTTTTTTATTATTTTGTGATAATCCTGTTGGAGAAACAGGAAAGATGTTACATCTCCTGACATGAGAAAAAGAAGTGCACCCACATCTCACTCCCAGCTTTCTCCTCATACCCCCTCCAAAAAACACACACCCCCATTTTTTTCTTTTTGCAAATACCGTTTTTACTTCCGTTTTCTAATTCATAGCTTGTCATTATTATGAACTTAATTACAAAGCATCAGAACCCCCTCTATAACAGCCAGCTTTTCCCCAGCTTCCCCAGTACACACTCTAGCACACATACAAATGCCTACTTGGACATGACCAGCTTTGTATAAGGACAGCTGGACAGGGAAGGCAGTAACAGCAGTATGTGGAAGAAAACATGCTTTCTGAGCAGCTCTCCCTTAAGCTGCCAGCAGCCTCAGTACCCCTTAGTGAGGCTGTGGATGGTGCTCCAGATGATGAAGGCTGGCACACTTCACAGCCAGCTAACACCGCAGTGATGCGATTCACTCTCACATCAGACCAGAAGCCGGGGTAGCAGGGATAGCACTAACTTTGGCTGGCTGTTCAGCTGAACTGAGGCCTGGCAGCAATTTGGGAAGCAGCATTTCTGCTTGCCTTACTGTAAGACTGTCTGTAGACACTCAGCACTTACAGAAGTTTATCAGTGGCAGCACTGGCCAAGACTGCACTACGATTTCCAGCGACTCTCTTGAAATGGTCTCCAAAGGATTCCATGCGTTAACCTAGTTTCTCTCTGGGCTGGACTCAAGCATTTGTAGAGGCTGTGATTAGTCTGGAGACACTCAAGGCACGCGAGGTTACATGCTGTAATTTTCTCATTCCGAAGTGAGGCAGCAGTGCCTCTCACTGCATGTGAGCACGAAGCCACACGCAGCCCCTGGCCACTCTCAGGCGCAACCTGAGAAACCACTTTTTTTTTTTCCAGGACAGAAAAGGCAATCCTGCTGGTTACTGGACTCGTGCAGATCTGATTTAGACCACATGTGAAAAACAATTATTCTTCCAACTGACTCCTCCTTCAAATTCTCTGGTAACCTGCCCTAAAACCACTTCAAAACGCTTCGCTGAGAAACAAAATCCACAAAAAGATGACACAAAAGAGCAAAGACTGAGTGGAATCTTATGCACGTGTTAAGTGTTTCATTCTTTTGCCTCGCACTTTAAATAGCACCCATCAACAAGATTACCGAGTTCAGAAGACTCCTGACCCAGTCCATAAAATTAGGTCATAACCTGAGGTAACTAAAGCTCTGCACATCTCACATCCCAGAGCCTCGCTCCTTGAATCCTACATGCAATCCTCCTGTTCAAAGCAGTCAGAATAGATTTGCAGTGGCCCGCCTGGAGGGATGGACTCCAGAGATGAGGGGCACTGTGTTTAATATGACAGGTGGGTAGGGGCTTGCCTCCACTGCTGAGATATTTACATCCACAGGACCACTTTGAACAAGTAAATGTTAAGGTGGTTCTGTTCACTGGAAGAAAGCTTATCAGAAAACTTTGTTCATTCATGAATAACCCGGCTGTCTTGTACTCTCTGGTCTGACAGAGACAGGATATACATAATTAAGCCCAGGAGGCAAATAGATAAATGCAACTGGTCTGTTATTTGTGCCTCCAGTACGGCATTTGAAACTATTTTGCTCCAAAGTATTAGCATCTTCCTCAACACCGAAGTCACCAGCAAACTGAGGAAAGTCCAGAGGAAGCACCAACGACACTGAGTCCAGTCAAACGCACCACAGAGCACAGGCTTCCAGTCTGTCACTCAGATTGGACAGAAGTGGGACAAGGTGTGAGAAGATGTAAGTGCAGGTAAGGCACAGATGAAGCACTATGCTTCAGTTACTCTAAGGCAGCTTGCCTGTGTGTTGTTCTCCTCCTCTACTAAGTGAAGGAGTGATTTTCTCCTTCAGACACCTGCACCTCTCCAGCTCTGAAAAGCAATCTTTAAGTTGGGTGAGTCTGAGAATATTCAAGGTAATCACCAAAAGCAACCTGAACCAATGATCAGAAAACCGATCTAATTAACACCCAGCTTTCCAAGAACACAATACAGAGAACATGACAGATACGTACCGGTAAATTCAATTTAATTGCATCAACAGGTTGGTAGAAAGGCCAAGCAAACTGATGTTTCCATAAGGTCTTTACAACAACGTTTTGCATATACTGCAATTGGTTGGTCTTCCGGCCAGGCTTATTAGGATTAGTGACCTCTGGAGGTGGTGGATTCACAGGGCCCTGAGGAGCCTGAATTGCTGAAGTGACTGTCGACATCTTCCTGCTCGTGCTCTCACTCGCTGTCACAGCAGCAGCAACTGGGAGATCCTCCTTCTTCCTTTATGCTCCCTGAATGGGACTGACATCCCATTTCCAGGGTCCAACCATGCAACCTAAGGCAAACGAGGGGAAGAGGACAACATTTAAGTGTTGATATTCATTTGAAGTAGGCATATCCAAACACTAGCAATAGTAGAAATGCCTCAACTCAGGCCATTTACCCTACCTGCCTCATCTTCCATAACAAACTTTGTTACCTTGATGACGAACATAGCTCAAGACACGAGAGAGAGCGGGAACAGCAATTCCCAAATTCAAAGCCTGCACAAAGTCAGTGAGCTTTACCTAGTTCAGAGGGCATCTTTGTGCAGGAACACAGGGTAGCATAAGAACACAGCTGGGATGTAATGCAGACACTCCCACAAATGTGCTGACTCAAGCTAGTAAATCCATAGCAGGCAGCTCTGGGTAAACACAGCCGTGCTGCTCTAGACCCATGCTGCTGGCACTGAGCCTGCTTGCACATCCCCATGCTGGTGCAATGGCGAGTCTGACATCTCAGAATCAAGAGCTGGCAGCTACAGCTGTCAGAGGATCCCCTGCAAGAGAAGAGAATGGGCCTGCAAAGAGTGCTAGGATCAGCTGCAAATGAAAGGAGTCACCAGAAACATCCTAACTGGAAGCTATCTGCACGCTGAATAGCAAATGTCTTAACTACACCTATTACTGCAGCCCCTTGCCTGGGCCCCAGTTTTATATGGAAATCTCAAGATATAGGCTCAGTGTAAATCATTAGTGTTACACTGCTCCCCATGGCTTGGCTAAAAGACCAGAGTCATGAGCACTCAAGGAGACGTATGAAAAATGGAAGAATAAACATATTGCATTACGTTGTTCTATTTTTCCCTAGCAAACTCCAGGGGAAAAACAAACGGTCGGTCTAGTATCACTGCCTCTTGTATAGCATATGGTAAACAGCTCTGCTGTGTCATCTTCCATAAACATTCCATATTTCAATTCACATCAGAACTGCAGCTACCCTTCTTCTGGCAAACAGACCACAGCCACTTTCTAGAGGCAAATTATGTGAAATATGCTCAGAAAACCACAGATATACTCTCACTGACATATGCTTCCTTCTCACAGAGATGTGAACTGAGATGGGAACTGCAGTGATACAGAAGGAAGGAGAACACGCTAAGACATCCTAGCAAAATAACTCTTCCTTAATAGAATCCTAATCATCTCTGCTAAATATCTGGGCTAAATATAGAACACCACCTTACCCTTTGAGTCACTGATTAGATGACAGCAAGGAGTAAACAGGTACCTAATTTAGGGGAATCTTACAAAAATAGATGTGTGCAAACAAATAGACCTGCAACAGAGAGGGATATTGAGGTGCCCATCTTTCCAGGCTTGTCCAAGCAGCAGAGCTATCTGCACTCAGGTACCCAACAGCTCTGTAACCAGGAGAGCACTCTGGAACCTGGCAGCTCTGTGACACAGGGACTGCTTCTCTGGGTGCCCAGCAGCTGCAGGCACCCTTTTAACCCTCACTCCATCAGATTCCACATTGTTTGCAGGGGAAGCTGCCCTGATGTCAGATTCCTTTTTAGTTTCAACATAGCACTTAAAGAAGCAAAAAAAAAAAAAGAAAAAAAAAAAAAAAAAGCATGATTAGGAGAAATCTGAAGTGCAAATGCTTTGGAAATATCCCACTTCCTAACAGAGTGCATGACAGTGAATTCAGATAGGCAATGGCTTTCCACAAGACATTTCCTAGCTGTCAGATCTCAGTTATTAAATGAGGAAAGGCACGACCTGCCCATCCTCTCATTCAAATCATCCACTTCAAATAGACTCACTCATTACAAAAAAATAAGGAAACAAATGAATTTTCTACCATTACAGGTAGAATTAAAAACAAACAGCTCTGGTCTAAGCACTCCAGCATCTTTATACTCTGCGTTAGCATCAGTAGTGATTTAAACTCCAAGAAAGCACAGTTAGGAACCAATGCAGCAATGCACAAAGTACTGCACAGACCTGGAAAGAGGACTGCCAAAACCACTCTCTGCACAACCATCTTCCAGTGAGGGTCTAAGGTTGGGCTTTTTAGCCCTGGAGTAATAACTGAAGTTTAAATTAAGTTAATTTAATTAACTTACCCCGTTCTACAGACCTTTAGTGTTCACGTGACAGAAGCTGTCCCTGACTTTTCTGGCTGCACAACTACACCTTTAATATCACAGATTTGAAGTACAACCTCTTGCTATCACAAATAGAAGAGCATACACTGCTTCAACATTGTGTATTTCCCCTTATTCCTATCCACCTGAGTTAGAGATGATAATTAAAAGCTAAACTCAAACCCTCCAACAAACACTGCTTCTCTGGAGTTCACAAGCCTGTCCTTTTCTGCTAAGCTGCAATCCCGAAGCTGCCAGGTTTAGCTTGTCCTTCAGCCAAACCAGTCATCAGAAAACACAGCTAGGTTGGAAGGTTGGTTTTCTGTTTGTTTTTAAACTTTTATTTCGTTGAGTTGCTTGCATTGGTCAGTCAGTGCAGAGACAGCTGGCATGAACAAAAAAAACCAACAAACACAACAACAATTCCCTGTCCTAGTAGAATAACGTTTTGCTCAGCTGATGCAGCCCACAGGCTGTCTGCAGTGGTGGAGACTATTTTAAAAGAAGCCATAAAGCCCCATGAAATGCACGTTGTGCCAGTAAGCCTGCTGCTTCAGCTAACGGTTCTGCCACTTCCTTTGGCAATGCAGAACATTTAATGGATGGCTCATTCCCTCACTGCTGTTCCTGCAGCACAGGGGACTATTTGTTTTGACTGCAAAATTAGAAGGTAGTGAGCTTTGTGTTATCGTGCGAGCCTGACAACTCTTTACGTCATATAATGTTTCTGCACAGTTACTTGGACACTGACCAAAACCTGGAGTGATTCCAGCCCAGCCAGAAGCAGTGACAAATCTCCCCACCAGGGAAAATTATCAAGTTGAAGAGATGTTCCTTGACCTCATCTTTATCTACACATCACTATTTACATTTTGGTGGCACAGAGGCCGTGCAGATCAGGGCCCTCAGCACCCTGCAGACACGCAGTGAGACCCTGCTCCTACCTCGAGGAGCTGCTGCTCCCTGCACGCTGCAGCGATGAGGGCTGCAGCAGAGCCCCAAAGCACAGGTTGCAGCCGCTCAGAGAAACATCATCAGTGTGGAAGGCAGAAGTAGAGGCTTTCTGCAGGCAGGAGGGAGGCAGGATCACGATCAAGCAGCCGGCAGTGGGAGCAGGCACTGCTCTCTGCAGCTCCAAGCATCGCTCCCCACCCAGGCTCTGTGCAGCAACCAGAGCAGATGCTTGCTCCCTTTCCCCAGGCAGCAGCAATAGCTGAAAAGTTGGTCAGATTTGCCACCATATGCTATCCTCTATCTCAGAGAAGCAGCAGGCACATGCTCGTGTTGCCCAGGCTTTCTTCCAGCCGTGGGAGAGCTTTAGCACACTCCTACTACTTCTGAGGTGCAGAAATTAGAAATTAGTGTTCTGGAAAAGATTGCCAGCAGATCAGATTCCCACAAACACAAGTTCCAAGACAGACACATACACAGGTATTTGGTAATAAAACATGTAACAGGCAGTGAGCAGAACTGCCTTTCCGGCCTTTCCTGAGTTGCCTAATTGAAAAGATTCCTTTTCTTGCAGCCACTGTGATTACATATACATTACTCAGTGCATGAGCCGCTTTAGCAGGGAGATGTTGGATGGCAGAGAACTGAAAGTACAGAGCATTAAATTTTAACAGCAGCCAAAGTTTAGAAGAGGCAGCATGTGAATTTGGTTTACTTGAGAGCCCAGAAATCACACGGGGGTAAATGAAACACCATCCAAAAACTGGGAACTGGTGGCAATCATGTTCCTACCCAGAAGTCTCTTTTTCCTTTTTAAAGGTAGTAAATTCCACTATCTTTAAAATAAATGATCTCAAGAAAGGAAATGCAGGTATAGGGGCTCACCGGGTCGACTCCAAGCCTTACTATTACTACACAGTCCAAAGAGTCCCTAGAGCAACCAAGTTTCAGATCCAGGCAGCTTTGTAGTCCCAGGACTGATTTTCATTGGTTTTGAAGACAATTATATCACCACTCATTGTAGTACATAAACTGTATGGCCCCAAAAGTCTACCTGTCAAAACAGATCAGACTGTGAAGTCATCCGCAGCCATTTCATGCCTATGGCTTTAGAAAGCAGGAATACACCACCACTCCTTCAGGCTGCCCAAAAGAAAACAGAGCTGGCGCATGCCCTCTTCTTCCTCCCACTCTGCTTTCCTTCACAGCCCTGTCTAGGAATCGAGCTTCAGGCAGCTTTCACTGCCTACTAACTCCATGTCAGCAGGGATGTTCCCTTTGAAAGCAAAGGGAGCTGCAATCCGAGACCAAGACTTGAGGGCAGACAAGCTGCTTTATCAGCCAGCGCTTCCTTGGCAGACACATGCTTGCTGCACACAGCGTGCCACCCCCTCAGGACTGGGGATGAAGCATTTGCACCTGGCCTCAATGCAGGAAATGGGAATTTGGCTTGAGTGCTCCTATAGCATACTGCAGCTACCCAGCTGTCCCTGTTATCTCCTATATTGTTAACTCCACATATCAAAGATCAGGGTTTTTTTTTGTATACCATTTTGAGCACAGCCCCAGTAAAATCCTGAGACTGAGATGGAACTGCACTCTTAACTTACCTCTGTACGAGGGAGGGAGAAAGAGCAGCAGATTAACTCAGTTCCTTAGTTTTTGGCTTGGTTAGTTAATGCTCATCAGATTATACAGACCGATTTCCCACCCTTGGTCTCTCCTTGGCTGTTATAAGAGCAGGTGCTCCCTCAGCCAGGAGCCTGTCCATTCCTAACCAATAGATAAGAGTTAGCTAGAGGTGTAACTGGCAGTTTCAAGGGCTTTCAGCTCCAATACACGCTCAGCACACCCCACAAACAAGGTTGCTTTAAGATGGCTTACATCACGCTTGAAAATCAGGGAAACCCAAGAGTTCCTTTATCCTGACTGAGAACCTACTGCAGTCTACAAGCACTTTGCTGGATACC